GCAAATATGAACAGGAAAGGCTCGCAAAAAGTGCCTTTGGCAGCAGAAAAACCACCAAATGCACGCTCAAACACAATTTTATCAAAACCATTAATTTACCCGCAATTCTTTAATAGTTTAGCACTACATTCGATTATGCGGGCACTTGAGTGGCCGCGGATTGTTTTCCTCCTGGGTGTAACGGCCTCGGAGTCATGATAGTTCTCTCAGCCCTTCTCTACGTCAGCAGTGTGCATTCCGCCATGCTACAGTGACCTCTTACGACTCCAGCGAAGCCTTGGGGCGCTACTACTACACCAAATTTCACTTTCTCCCGTATCCGTAGTCCTCAACCTGTGTCGTTATTAAAAACAAGTATTAGTATTGACAACTTTAATTCCCAGGCTTCCACGGTATTCATTTTATGAGTTTAGTTGATGATCTCCATTTTTTTGGAGTTTGGATGGTATGGGTACAGTGTGCTACTTGTGTTGTTTTAAGGTTCCTTTCAGAGAGGAGGCAGGGATACGAATTGAACCTCGTGACTGAGGGGTCAACGTCCTGCAACCCGGCGAAAGGTTCCGTGTCCACACCTCCTTGAACTTGTACCCGCTCGCCCCTATTTACTTAACCCAATAAACATGGCAAAACCAAGTCAGCCTAGGTGTTCTAAAGGTACGAGGGCCAGGGAGGAGGAGATCTACGAGCTTCGTCATCGGTATGTGGTCCCAATAGAAAGCCTGTTCTTAATCGCCACTCCTTTATTGAATACTGTTGTTTTCTTTGTTTTAAGTTTCGTCGTTATTTGTATTTTCTGTGGTATACTGGGTGCTCAAATGAGCACGCTTTCACGGACTTTAAGTGGGGAAAAGCTATATAGTCGTGTGGGTTTATCCTTAACATTTCTTTACTTGGGTTTGGTTATCAGGGCTAAACAAGATATTACTGCTCATCTAGGGCTAATTTATGACTTTTGTCTCTTTATTGATGTAAATAGTACATATTTCTTCTGGTCTAGCATAATTATAATGTGAAAGATTACGAGTCTTTTAAGGAAAAGGCTAACCAGGATGAGAATACTTTGCATTTTGAGAACAGTATTATAACATTGTGACGCCTTTAATATACAGCCTATCATGGGGCATAAACTAAAGCATGACAGCTTCCACCTTAAAGAGATTTGGGATCTTTCACATTATGAATATGTTAGACTGGAATAGATACAAACTATCTACATCAATGAGGAGGCCATTGTCATCGGCTAGTCCTGAATTAGATATAATAATTTATTCCATTATACATAACCTAACCATTGAAGAATATCAGCCACGTCCACAAAATAAACAGCGCAAAAACCTAGGCATTAACGGTTTCAACAGTAAAACCCACAATAAAGTATTGGATAGCTCAATACGGAAAATAAAACAATACGAAAATAAATGACCGCAATTGTGTGGTAGCTGCTTGTTGAGTTAGTAACCCACCTTTGAAGCAAAATATGAGAACAAAACCATAAGGCCTAAAGTTTATATGATTTAGCGAAAAATGAGTACACCTTTATATCCTCCCTGCAATCAACGATAAATGATAAATAAACACACACAAGGTTTATCAACCGGTATGTAGTAAGATTTGAGCAATAGACATCGGGTGCGGTGGCTAATTTACCGTCCACAGAACCTACTTTCCACGAAATTCACTTAGAGAAAATAATTATAAAACTAAGATTTGCATCTATTGGTCCAAGAAACTGCCTAAAAATATCTACGAAGCATGACGCAAAAGGTAAATTAACTAAACCATTCCTGCCTCTCAACTTCTCAGTTGGGATCATTGATAAATAATGCCTCAGCCGTATACAATACTCACTTCGCACGTTTTAGATAACCGCTCGCATATGCTCCAGCATCCATCCATCCGAAGGTGTAATCTGCATCGTGTACGAAACCAAAGCAGTCACTATGGCAAACCACAGGACCATGGATTTGAGCCGTGACACACCTCGATTACCTCTATCAGCCTAAAGCGTCTTTGCGGCTAACTCTAGAGTCACATAGTATAGAATTCCAAAGAATCCACTAAGTACAGATGCAAAAAGAACCTTCAGTACTCATATGTGTACACGCACACACGCGACAACACAGACCACATAGACCAAAATATCGTATTAGAAAACAACTTATTAAACCCGATGCCAGATGTAAAACTTCATTCGACCTACACAGCTAAACAGTCCGAGTAACAGCGCCAAAAGAAAACCAAATTATAGAACACACAATTTGCCACAGAACAGGATCCCTCTCGCTTGTACGAAATTGCAGCAACATACGCATTCATGCAAAAGGCTTCATTCATGTGGAAACACATTTTAGCATAGTTGCTGACCTACCAAACAACAGTGCGTACATCTACTCCGGTTGTAAGCGCACGATGCCCCCGGACTCTACTTTCCAAACAAACTATGGAAATCAGCAAATAACAATCCGCAAAACTTATTAGTATCCGAAGGCGCACATAACAAATAATCCCGAGTCAAGGTAAAGTCAAAAGTGTAAACGTCAGGATAACCAAAGTACCAAAACCTATGTTTAAATAAAATAGGATCGTGGTCAACCGAAGGTTTAACAGAGGCAGAACTAGAATTCCAATAGTATAAAAGCCTTGTTGTGGCTGCCGCCAAAACAGGTAAAGTTACTAATAATATATTATAGAAGTTAAAAGATACGCCCAAAGCACTATTAAAATAGGAGAAAATTGTATTCGTACTAAAAATTACTGCATGAAATACGCATAAAGTTTGTGGAACTAAATATTCCCGAAATAGCAGCTCATTATAAAATAATCATGAAAAGACTGACACTATATAAAGGGTGGAGGAGGATAAAATTCCACCCACTCCCAGCAACACGCGTATTTTAATAAACAAAAACAACGCGGTCGGAACTAATAAGTACATAATTACATAAGTCGCATAAATCTCCTATTAAAGGCGACAAATATTTATCAAACCCACCTATTGAAAGAGACATTTAAATTAAATCATTGCCATACTATGATTTGCAGTTGAAAGTTAGCAACAATCTAGCTGTACGACATTACAAGGCTTTAACAAACAGGATCTCGAACCCACAAAGCCTGACCAGAAGTAATATGCTGATTGTTCGCTTAACTCTAGGCTTTGGTAAGGGGCAACTTAGGGTTCCGCCAGGTGGCCCAGCCTCTGAGCCATGTCAGCAGCCCCCCAAGCCCTACTGTATGTTGACAGTACACATTCTGCCGTAGTATCATGCCTGCCTTCGACTTCAAGTAGGACTCGAGCGATACATTGGTGGCAGCTAAAAGTGAACCCGAACCAAACCCCTCTGCAAAAGTTTCATCACGGAGCTGCTCACCTTAAGCGTATGGAGATGTCAATCCAGCTAACAGGCGATGCCTCCTTCACTGTGAAACTGTCGAAAGGACCAGTGTAATTGCAGTCAGACACAATTGAAGGCTGTCACGATCGGTTGGTGGATGCTTTTCTTACAGCACTGACTACGTTGTTATAGTCGCAAAGGGTGGGGGATGTAGGCCAAGGGTATCGGCTGTGACGATAATCAAAAGGCGAGGTGGCTTTGTAATGACTTGCTTACTCGTTTACCACTTTGTTTTGGCTTGGCAGGTACTTAAGGCTCGTCTTTCGTACTTCTGCCGGGCGGCATGATTTCCAGGTCGCTCCAGTGCCACCCCATCCGCCGGCCTTCTTCATTTCGGCATTACACACCCCGCCCTTTAGAATGCCTTCTTTCGCCTTCAAGTAGGTCTCAAAGAGCCACACACATAACAGAAGAAAATATTTCCACCACTGGGACGCAAACCGTACTGCTGATGGTTAAGTTAGAAAAACTCAAAAAAGAGTTCCATTGGGTGTAAAGGAGGAATTTTCTGTAAATTACGTTGTACGCCATTAACTCAATGAATACGTATAAACGCTGCAATAATTAATAACCCACAGCATTACCTTCGTTTAGCAGTAGGGATGTTTTACTCGACAAGGTGGGTTTTTACACACCCCTGGTGCACACCTCTTATTTCAGTAAGGCGATAGGAGCAGTGACCAACGCTACACACCAGTTGGGTCAACATCTGCTTGCAGCCATGGTCTTGGTTTTACTTTTGTGAAGTGTTTTGAGTTTGTTGAATGGAATAACTACTCTGAAGGGTCTTCGTCGCATTGGTGCTGGTCTCGCTATACGCATCTCATGTCACACAGCAGTGCTAAGCCTACCATTTGTATGCATACATGCATACAGTCTTGTGCGACAAATACATCCCATGCAATGGGAATGTATCGGTGAATAAGCGGATTTTTGCGAATCGCGATATCTTGGATCTGTTTTGCCATTCCAATCATTAATTCATCAGATGCTCGAATCACTCGTTCAAATTGTGCCTAGCCAGCAATCAAATGACCGGATTGAAGATTTTTCACATAAAGGGCTTGATGACAAAGCATATGAAAGTAGTTTTAACCAACTAACCTCGAGGCTGTGAAGACACTCGAAAGTATGCATTCACTAAAGAATTTTTCTTTCCCTTTTACCCACGTTTGCAATTATTAACACATTAATGCTACCGGCAATGACTAGAATAATCTCGCATGTTTATTGTCTGAACACAAATAGAAAAATATGACTCTGGTTAAATTTTAAGACTAACATAGTCAACATAGCCTATTCCAGCCTCAAGTATGTAAGCGTAGTTTTACTTTTCGATCATGCCCAGTGCGCGTTTGACAGTTGACCCATTTCATAAAAGAGCGCGATCTAGTTTACCATGAAGCCGTGAAGGGGGTGTGTAAGGTAATGTTTGGCACCTAAGACTTACTTCACCACCTAAATAAGAGTGGCAGCTTTTTTGCGGTACAATGTGACAAAGACTAAAATAGAATTACAATCTTTAAAAAGTGTGCCTCAGTGAATAATAGGCCTTGAAATATCTAAAAATGCATTGTCGCGCTTGCCATTTGAGTTCATTTCGCACATTTACTTTTGGAAGCATTTCTACTCTAGCAAAAATTCTGCTACTGTGCTTCCAACATTATTAGTTGACGTCGCCAAATTACATTTTTAAGTCAATATAGACCCATTTATTCACAAAGTAATTCACTTTACACGGCACAGATCCCAAAATTGAGCACATACTCTATCCTAAAATGATAAGCTTGATTTTAGAAGGCACCGCCACTTGTCTCTTAAAGATATTTATTTATTTGTTTGAAAACGATATGGTCGATTGGTAGAGATATTAAATTCACCTAAATATATGAATCCATATGGTTTTACACCATAAAAATATTACTGTACTTGGGAGCTAATGCCGGCAATCGGTTGAATCTGTATATTGGGTGGCCCTGATGTCACCACTTACGGCAGCATGTGGGGAGGATCTAACAAGGACAGATAACAACCCTGACATTGAGTTGTAAGCGCAGACGTTGTGGTGAAAAACCATAGGTGATTGCATAAACTGCCTTCCGCTGTAACGCATCAGGTCTTTCCTGAAGTGGTAAGAAGCCATAGTAGTAGGAGAGGAAACGCAGAACTGACGTACAGAAGAGGTGAGGATACTGGAAGGACCCGGAGGTCAGGTCGTCGAGTGGAAGTACAATTTGTACAGGCCTAAGTGCCCGCGCAATCAACCGCAAAGCTAGACAATCTACCAAAGCATTAAGAAGTCAAGTTCTTCGTCCAAATGTCGTCTCCCTCCAGTCCCATTGTTCTACTTCCCGCATTGGCCATCACAACGTAGTCGATACTTAAAGCTAACACCACGAACCACTAGTGCCAATCTTCGGATTTACATGCAACTGATGAGACATTTGTTGCCAACGTCACTAATCCCCTTTTCAGTGCCACTGCATCTGGTGTTTCGTTCTATCAGAGAACTGCATTCGGGAGAGGGAAACGCACTGTCCTCGTACTCTTGGAGACTGGATGATAACAATAATGATGGTGATGACGATTAACCAAGAAGAGGCCATTTCGTAATCCCTTGGCTTGTCGCATGAACACCAGCCTAAAACGAGAATCGTTTGATGAAAGAGGAGGTTTGCAAATTGCATGGGGATAATGTTTCATGTCAACACGTGCTTGTCACCCTGTCCTCACTTTAGTGCCGTCCAGCAAGATGTCTAGCTGGGTTTTATCTAGCTGCTGGGGAGGTGATGGAGATGTCGCTTGTTCACATAATTGGCACCTTCAGCCAGATACCGCAGACAGCTCTGTAGTAAGCTTTTGCAGGTGGCTCACTGGTGGTGTCGCTTTGGTTGTTAATAGAATTCCCACATAACAAGGGGACTGAGTTAGCTGCCGAAGACAAATACCATTTTCAACCCCTCTTTTAGGAGTCTCCATATATCCTCCCATCAGTGGCACATGTCCTTCTATCCCTTTAAAGGAATTCGCTTTTGCTGTCATTAACATGGTGCCCTGTGTCTTTCTAGGAGTCGAAAGAAAGGCATAGTAACATGGCAGAAATTGTTTTACCGCTGTTTACAAAACATACTGTAGAGATGTTCTTCACGGACTCGATGGTTCGTAGAGTGTTGGAAATGGTGCAGCAGGCTGTTTCATTTTTTTCACCTTGTGAATGGTTAAACTATCTCTTTAAATACCATTATTTAGTGATCATGATACTTTCTTGTCTGTATCAAAACATGTAGTTAATTTCTCCTCAAGGTATCAATTAGCTTGAAACTGAAGGGACAAAGTGAATTGTAATACTAAATTACCATTAGTAGGTCAGTGCGGAACTTCTTAAGGTGCATTTTACTTGTTGTCACAAAATTAATGAAAGCATTATTTTCACCACCAGGTGCCACTGCCACCCGCACACCGGTTCGCCAAGTCAAATCCCATTTCGTTAGGTGTGAGACTGCGCATAACCACTATGTTAGTTTCCTTGTTACTCTCTGCAACCTACTCAGAAACCTGGTCTTTTTTCTCTCTTTACTATTAGGGTTATATATCTCGCATTGTAGGGGTGCCCTTATTCTTCAGGTTCTTGTTTGCCAATTTTGGAAAGTAAACGTTGTAATAGATTGACTAGATGTGCATCGGCTTGTAGTGGTGTGTGAAAGACAAGATGCTAATACGGGAAAAAGTTCGGAGGTGCACGTGGTCAAGCATTAAAGTCCATCCTCCAGTAAAGACATATGCAATATTTAAACGTTGACGTTCAATTACTTTTAAACTCTGAAGTCGAAAGAGGTCATAAGACAAGGGCGGAATATGTGTTGCCGAAGTAGAGAAGGGCTGGGGGTCACTAGTGCGGCCCAGAGGCCATTCTTCCCAGCGGAGCTTTAAGTGGCCCGTGGGAAGAGCTAAACAAACGGGAGAAGTTTTGCATGCGCAAGTTAATCGCCTACCTCGAGTCGCTTTTCACCCATCCCTGACTCTTATTAGGAAAAATTGCACAATTATGTTGATTCGGAATAAAAAACAGTTAATATGTTCGCCCAATATTGCAGCAGAATTGAAAAGTGAGAGAATGGAATTTGGCATCACTTACAGCAATGATTTATTTAGGAGTTTTTAAAGCCCTCACTTTTATGATACTACTTCCTAACTATTATTTTGTTTAAAGCATGCTTGTAAGATATTCGTGTTTCTACATCTCTTTTTGTTTACTTTTTATGATGTATGTAATGAAGTGGGGTGTTTGTGAGGGCTTCTGCGGTAGCTGAGAAACTGGGTGGGACGCTAGTCAAATGAATGATTTTACTTCTACCTCGATCACATCACTTGATCATGAGGTAATTGTCGTGTTGGCGTTCGAATTACTTTTGTGGTGCCTCGAGTCATCCCTGATAAGGTAATGGTGTGCACAATTACAAAGGGGGGTTATTTTCTAGTGTACGGAAGAGCTGGGAGTCTGTGAGCATGATTAGGTAAACATTTTATCATGTTGGTGTTAGAACGTGCGGAGGCTGAAAAGCCTGAAAAGTAAACATACATTTTGAGCTCGGACTCTTCTCCTAAATACACTCAGCAGAAGTACGGATTGATCATGAGAGCGGAAATTTTGGGTGTGTGATCGGATGTAATACAAATGCTATGGCTATGTAAATGACACCTGATTAACTTGAATCCCTTTTGTGCACTGTACTAACTTTTTTTTTCTCATTTTCGTGACTAACCCAGTCACTTTTGAGCGACGAAAACAAGTTACCGAAATGTTTCTGTTAAAATAAACGAATATTAGTTTTTAAGAAGTGGTTTTTGCGGTAGGTTTAATACAAAGCTTTTTTAATGAAATACACCCTATGTTTACTATCTCAGGTGGTCTGGGTATTAAAGGCTAAATATTAATGTGGCCTAGGAGTCTTCCTTAAAGTTATGGTAAGCCCAAGTAGAGTGCCAGACTATATGCAACTACCGAAAGGAAGAGGTAGGAGGCCATCAGCACAACCCAATGGCCATGCTGCAGAGTGGAAATTCAACCAGCATAGACTGTATAGTCCACACGGTTAACCACATAGAGAAACAAAGTGTCCAATTACTACAACAAATTATACGGAGAGTACCAGAACGTCATACATTTGTTTCATAATGTGTACCATTCTACTTGTTATATATCAATGTCGAAATCTATTGCAGTGTTGGTATACCCACGAGGAACGTGTCGTGCCACCCTCGTCATGCTTTCTCCTCGTGGAAGCTATAAAACATCGGGGTCATGGTTTGCAATTGGGACAGATTGGTAGCACGCGTGCACTCACACGTGCGGTGAGAATGGGTCAGCATCCGCAACCTATCAGCTTTGTGTAGTTTAAGGTGACCTATTACAATGAACAGTTGCGGTTATATATACACATTGACTATCTCACAAACTCGGCTGGCTTTGACAATAGTCTGCTATAGGATGTCGGACTCACTGCAAGCAGTTCAAACCACCTGGGTTAATGGTGCATGCTTCGGCTGGCCCAATGGAAACGATCCTGACAGTGAACCAGAGTTGTCCGATGCGGTCCAGCTGCAGGCGGAAAGCAGGTATTATCTGCACCACCATCATCCCGTGGTGAAGGCAAGCCCCTCTGTGTCCCATCACGGCGACCTTGATGGAGTGCCGAAGAGGAAGAAGAAGAAGGACGAGAGAGTGGTGGAAAGGCCAGGAGGCCTGCGACTAGTCAAGTCAGCTGTCGATCTAATGCGCCACTCTGTCACCCACAGCGGGCGCAACAAGCATCCTAAGGGCGAGGGGGAGCGATTGTCAAGCGGACACTTGATGATCCCTGCCTCCTCCACGAAGTACTGGGGTGCCTGCGAAGCCTGTCGCCAGAATGTCCACTTGACGAAGTACCTTTACTGCAGGCATTGTCCCGTCGTCTGTCACGCTTCTAATCGCTGCCTGAGTAAGCTGAAACGGAAGTGTCCCTCCGTCGAGCTTGGAATACTTGGCTGGGGAGAAGGTAAGGGTTAAAAGTCATCATGCTCCCTTGTTTATTGCGTAAATTTCCTACAGAGGTGTATTAAACATCAGTACCTTACAAGATATAACTTTTTATTGTGCCATTAGAAGTTTGATCTGAGCACTTATATCTTCTCATGCGAGCCTTATAAATCAAAGCCACCTGACTTAGAGGAGTTGACAAATCCTTCTAAGCTGAGTTTGTTTGTTAAGGTATGATAAATGGCTATTTCATGCAAGTTCTGCAACCCGCTACTTCCCTGAAGATGATTAAAGGCATAGTACCAGGGCAGATTAATGTATCACCAAAGTAAAAAAGAACTTGGGACTACTATCATGCCCCAAAGGCCAGGCCACCCGGTGGAGGTACAATGGCAAGGCCCTCAGTACCTGCGTTAATTGAACCGATGAGCTAAACAAACAATTAAAGTATTAAAACCAACCAACGCTAATCAGACCCAAAACCTTAATATCGGAAATATTTCCCCAGGACTGATGGTAAAATGACGTATTAGAAAAGATGGCTTATCTTTTGCGATAGTCATAAATACCTGCCCTTGTTCAAAGTGATCTCTAACAGAAGTAGATGGCTGATAGCAGGCAGGAAATTGTAACATTAAATTATAATTCAAGGGAATATTAAGGCTTAGCTTTCATACAGAATGGTTTAGTCATTGCCTATTAGCCAGTGTGAAAAGACAAAAAGCCTCCATTAAGTGACATCTACACAAATTGGCAAAGATAAGACTAGCAAAATATCTGCCCTTGCCATGCCCATCAGGTAAGGCAGCGCCCAAGAAACTGGTGCATTTCATTATCGACTTGGAGGACGTCTACTTGGGCGGATCTTTGAGCGGACAGTCGAATACATGCGCGGAGTGCGGTCGTGTGCTAATTGCTGAGATGGGGTACTCCTGTGGCCAGACGGCGAAGTCCGAGTTGGAGATGGAGCAGGCGAAAGTTGAGGCCACCGCCCACCCCGCAGCCGCCAAGCCGATCAAGCGCCTGCGCCAGGGGCTGCGAACCCTTTTACACGGCAAATCGAATGGAGCGGGAGCACAGGTGCAGGAATGCGCCAAGAAGGTGCTCGTCTGCCATTTCACGAAGAAGCGCTACTGTGAGCGTTGCCACTGGGGCGATGAGTGGTACATCCCGGCTAACATGCTGCTCCTCAACGACTATGCGAAACACCCTGCAAGTTTTTACTTATCACCCACCGCTTTCTCCTCTTATTTGTTCCAAACACCACGTCTTGGTATCTCCAAATCCTCATATCTATTTCGCATATATTCAATGCGACGGCCATTACGATTCTTAAGAGTTGTAGGCTAATCCAGAAATTAAAGTTTTATATGCCTGAGTAGTCTAATTGGCAATGGAATGACATGCTCCCTTCACCGCAAAAGTCACGATGATTTGGGATGTGAGATAAGTTTGTGGACGCTTCGTTTGTCGACTGCACAAACCCCTTTGATATCTTAATATGCTTTATTTTCCATTAAAAAGAACCAACTTCCAGAACAAATTAAGGGAATTTCCTCTTCTAATTAAAAACGTAGATATTGCCTATGGAAATTGCATCTCGATAACTTTCCGATGTGTAAAGTTGCCTCAGTCCTACGTGTCTGAATCAAAAAAATTAAGTATAAATGCACGGATAGGCATGAGGTATCAGGACAGAATACGGTTTAAGGATGGTACTTGATGAAATGGTTTGGGCGCTCAGCTTAGATTATTATGATCATTGTCCTGAACTGTTATATAAACTTGTTTTCGAGCCTTCTTTTGCAAATGTGCACTCTTTTACAAAAGGTCGTGTTTATAATATTGCGAGTTTTCGATTAATTATGCTAAATAGTTAAAAATTGCCTTTGAAATAATCACCTTTACGACCTACACCTTAGCATCCACCGAAATACAAGCTTGCGAATCACATCTTTACCTCCAGAGGCAAATCACCGAGCCCTAGCCAACCCCCTTTGTTACCGCACATCCATCTCTCAGCATCCTTCTCGGTTTCGTGTGCGAAGGTTTAATACGGAGGAAAGGTGATAATCGCTTGGAGGAGTGTCATCAGGGGAGTACGGAAGTACAAATCGTATCACGAGCAAGTTTTTGTGGTGGTATGGGGTCGTACGTTGTCCTAGATGACTAGGGGTGGTCTTGACTACTTTTAAAGCAGAAGGTTTCGCTGTGCACGATCGAATTGTCTGGTGTCGAGCATGTCTCAGGCGCAATTGCTTGACTTTAGACAAGAGAATGAAAGCGAATAATTGGGCCTGTAGTCTGTTACACATGCACACATACAAAAGGAGGATGGCCATGTAGAAATGAATTGCTAATCCATCGATATGGCTGTTAGCCGAAGGTTGAAATCGAAAAACCACTTCTTCCTGCATCCGTCAGCAAACAGTCCCTCCCTGACTGCGCGTTTTTACTGGGTGAGGAAAGTGAAACTACAATTGACAGCTTTGACACCAATTGTTTGCTATCTGTTATTTGGTGACACCTCATATCCGTTTGCTGAACAGTCAAGACTTGGCTAGTCAAAAGAGATTAAAGAAATTTTATTCCTGTCACGTTAGCCTTAATTTACTTTAAGCAGTGTTGATACCTATTTCTTCATTATCAAAAGCAAGAGATCCTCCTGAACGTTTGATTTGCGTGAGCGATTCAAAAGCGGAATCCAGTTGTTTAAAGCGTGTTTGATGGTATGTCCCGTCACCGCACACTGCACATTCTCCAAATGCCATGCAAACTTGACAATAAGCCTTCCCAGCTTTAAGACCTAGATGAATTCGGTTCATGAAGCAGACAATCGCCAATTACGTTAGGTTCAAATCCTGCTTTATTATGATATGGGGATCCCAAACAAGAGGTCAATCATAAATTAACGCAATAAGGAGCTCTACAATTCATGCAAACAATTGTATCTCCCAAATCCCTTCAAATTACAACAAGTCATTTCAGCGAACTAGTATCGAGAATCGCAAGAACTTTTTAGTTGCCTGATGTAAACCGCTTATGATTGTTTGCTTCTATTCAAATTGCATGTTAGCACTTTTTGCAATGATAAGAAATAAACATAAGCTTTACACATGTAAGCTCGTTTGTGAATTTATTTTGTATCTTGTTCACGTATGGATAATCGCCGGTCAGTCCGATGGTGCCTTCGGTATCGGCAAGGCCGCCACGCTGGCTTGGGTCACAGGCGCGCAAAAGCCTCCAGGTGCTAACTTTGTTCACAAGTTGAGCTGCGTGCCATCTGCGACCATCCACGAAATGCAAAACGAGGCTACAGTGTTGTGTCGGACAGTCTTTTGAATAAATCTGCTCTGTGGTTTCGTTTAGTGACAGTTCGTGTCCCGTAGCTCGTTCTTTTTGTGTTTTTAGTAAATTGGATTGTCTCCTTGCTTTTTTCGCAAGTTGTGATTTACTCTTATGTTTGTTTTGAATGTCATCATAAAAAGAGAATTACGTCAAGGATAGGCTGTTGTAAAACTGGACTGCCATTTGGAATAATTGCTTCCAATTAGTCAACACAGAATCCCACAAACAATACCGAAAATTCACTAATGAAAATTTCCTTCCTCCTGACTTCATACACAACAAAGTACTTTTGCTTTCAGCCTCGGGTGCTATCCTAAGTACTGCAGCCCCAGTTTCTCCACTAGTACCAAGGGCACAGTGCACGATCTTGTATAGGGTGGCATTAAGAAAGCCACTAACGAAGTTGAAGAAGACATTCTCGTGGAAGAGGCTAGGAGCGTCCATTCATTTACCACACTTGAGTCAGTTATGCTCTGGATCTACTAAACAAGCTCAATTTTTCTGATCAGGATACTTTACCTCTTCGAAGCAGAACCTGCGGCCCCGACAGAGGAGTGCTGCTGCTCCCTGAATTTAAACATAAAGGATTTGATTAGGTTTAAAATGCATATATGTTCCATCTTTGGTGGCGAAGATAACAACTGCATTAGATTTAAAGATTCCGTATTTAGACTGAAAAGACGATTCAATAGAAGCTTATGCTTTGTAGAGGTTGCAACATTTTGACCTTCACTGTCCTTCGTGGGCAGACGTTGCAGTTATCTCGTCAAGTCTTTCTTCCCCTTTCAACGCCGTTTCCTTGTTCAGGTATCGCGTTCGGCCTATCTGCTGCTTCGTGTGCTATGGGATACTGCTGTCCTCCATGTCCCTCCTGAGTGGTACAAGGAAAACGTGCAGGCCGCCCAAGTGCTTCAAATAAGGAAAAAGTTCAAAGCCATGTCCCACTACTTCCATGCCTGCCCTTTAGCTCACACTGTTAGGGAACTCGTTGATGTAAGTTGGGTGAAAGGTGCTCACTCATCAAGGGCTGAATGCAATGGACCGCGATCCCACCTTCCATGTTTGATCAAAGTCGCTTTTCTCTTGATGAGAAAAGTCGCATCTTTAACTTCTTCCAGATTTTTTGCATAAAATTAGGTGAAAGGTACCGCATTACGACGTACCGCTTCAAGGTTGGGGAGTGCAGCCACAGTGATTGACTGGTTTGCTACAAAGTGCTATGATGAATCAAAATTACTGAATAATATTTATCTTCGTTTGCAAATTCTTGTATTGTATGTGTATTTATTCAAAGAAAAGAACAATAAAGGGCTTGATAAAAAATGCGTCTGTCACATAATTTTATTGTAATATCAGATTGGCACGAAGTTTTTCAGTCGAAATTCCACTAGTTTTACTCATTGATATTAGTTCCCTTATGTCCTAACAACTACACATATTGCCTCCAGTCCTTGATTGGGATATCGTATTTACTTTTGCCTGATGTTACAATTTCCAATTTAACGTTGCCACTTCAGGGCATAAGAGCTCCCCACCTCACTGAATGCGCGTCGCTGCTGCGCATGGTTGATGTGATTCAAATTGTCGACAATTCACTCTACGAAAAACTGGAGAGAATGGTCCATTTCCTCGAATTCCACATTACTAACTGCAGGGTATGTTTATACCTCAACATCGTATTCAGGTAGTTCGAACATTTACTTGTTTGAGGCGCCATCACTTGTGGTGTCTATTCGCCCCTGAAATTGAATTGACCATCCATTAGAGCGGGGCGTGTGAACTGAACCTCTTGAACTAAATTGGTTTGGAATCCCATTGTAGGCAAATAATCAAATCCGAATCTAATAATATGTAACCATTTATAGGATTATATCTGTAAAGTTGGAAATTAATAGCGAATTGCTAATTTTTATACGTATTGTTGACGAGAATGGCTTTATTTCTAAAATGTCCGAATTGGCTTGCCTTTGTTCAAATCACTTAATTTCAGTAGTCCACTGAATAGGCCATCATGAAAGGGAATGCCAAGTCAAGAGGTGGAAAGGAAGCAGTAAATATGTTACACAAGACTTTATTGAGTGAACATTCAATGGGAATCGCCTTAAGTTAGTTAGCTACTTAAATCTACTATAAAACTGGACCGTTGAGTTGCCTTCTCTGTCAAAAAGGACGGTTGAAAGGCAGATTCTGTAAAGCGACTTGAGAAAATACTCTTTTACCGTCAACGCATCGTGCTATTCCAGGTGCTAACTTGTGCCATTTGGCAGTCCAGTTATTTAATTTATTGTTGTTCAAAAATATTCTAGATCTGCAAAAGCGAAAATCGCAAATGTTGTGTCTGTGGAAAGGGTAAACGTCTCTTCTACCATGACAACGACGTTTGCTTGTGCCACAACTGCGGCCTCCCCTACCACGCGTAAGTGACGCCTGACGCCCTCCGATGGCATTGCGAATTCACGGCTCAGCATCGTACTCCCAGAGGTGCTCGCTGTAGGGGATAGCCCTAATTCTGCAATGAATTGCAGTTAAACCGTTCAAAATTTGGATGCGGCACCTTCCACTGTTACTACAACCAGTTTCTTTTTTCTTCCTCCTTTTATTTGCTCATAAAAGTGCTTTTCTTCTAACACTTCGTGTAAGTTTGGCTTTATTGCCTTTCTTGTTTTTGCTGTATATATCCTTTATGTACGGATCTGCAAAGACTCGTGGAAAGTTGCCACACAGGATTATAAATTATTCTTTAAATGGATGATCATATAACAGAACAGATTATTTGCGTAAGCTATTGTTTAGAAATCCACCGTTAAATTATGACTTGATGTCTAAATATTCGAAAGGCAGTATAGAACCCTTTCACTGAACAAATTAAAATGGACGATTCTGTCACGAGCCGAAATGTCTAAAGACAACTGCATTCCTTGAAGCATTCTGACCACGTAAGTATTCATCAAAGCCTTCGCCGTGAGGATAAACATTTTTGGAACTTCTGGTATTTTATTAACCAAGTAATCATTGACATTTGTTTTGCAACATATGTATTAAAACGTCATTTTTTTCCTTTTTATACACCTAGAGCCTGCTCCAAGACCAAGGATAGTAGGCACAGGTGCTGACTTGACCATAGCCCACCCCAAGATGAATCAAAGTTTGCTACTTTTACACAATTTTCCTGTGTGCTAACGTAGTACTGACAAGCTTGTGTGTTGATTTATTAAACAGAATTCCCGGCATTTTCACTGAGAGGTGAATTTGGCGTTCGCTAATTCAGGTGGTGCCCTGTCGGTGTTCAGCTCATCTGAATTACGTGAACATTAGCTGTTCGCAATAAAGTGCCAGTAATAAATAATGTATCTTTGGGATTACAAAAGTGTTTCATCCAAAAAGGCGACATTTTACGTTAGAGCGAATTTCATTCTTATGCGAAACTATGTCTGTATTGTTTTACCAATGCCTCGACGCCATTCATAAGCACTAAAATCACTCACTTAAGTGTAGATAAGGGCTAAAAGGATCTCCCAAGTCTTTTTTTTCTGAAAAAATAACTTTGGTATCCACAATGGCTGGGGAGATCTTGTGGAAAAAGGCGGAGCGACGTAACTTGACTGAGTTTGCAACGAATATTTATGGTGCCGTGAACAATTAAATTTGTCATTTTCGATTAGCTGCAAGCGCTGATCTTTCCTCAATTCGAGAACGCTTGACAGGCTCTCTTGTGCAATGATCCTGGTCACGACAGAAGTTAGACATCTGAAGTCTACGTCGGTCATTTGCAAATTTAGTTCCCAATCAAAATAAATTCTTGGAGTGGCAAATTCGTGCGATGCAGTGAGGAAGTATTAAAGGCTCTAAAGAAAGCACAAAGCCCCAACTTTTTACAGCCCCGAAAACCATATTATTCGTTACTTTAATACTTTCTCTCAAGCTTGGATTAGCGTGATTATTTCTGTCGTGCAATATATGAAAGTGGGTAGTTCAGTGTGATCAAAGAGAATCGCATATGCGATAAGTAACTGCACCTCAAAGTGTGTAGAGCATCGAGACTTCTTCGAGGGCGGGGAGAGACACAACACTCCGTACTTGGGGGCTAATTGCACGAACCGGATCCAAGCAGCTTGGAGGAGGCACAATGATGGAGACCCAAAGTGGCCCGTTACCACAGCCGAGAGTTAAACTAACAATTAACGTATTACATAGTGAACTTATTTCCTAGCCAAGTTAATTTGCTTACCATGCAATGAATACTTTACTAACTTTCACTGTTTAGCTAAATAATGATTACCAGTACTGTTAACATGCCGAGGTAAATATGTGCAGCACAAAAAAAAACGTTTTATCGCAGACTACGGTGACTAGCAGCGTGGCCTCGTAATTTCCTTAACTTTGCGTGTAGCAAAGAGAGCATTTGAGTCTGCATATTAGGCTTCCGCTCTGCGGCATGGGCCTTGGACCATGCTAGTAGTGCCCGAGCTCTTCTGTACGATACTAACGTGCTATCCCATACTACTTTGGCTTATTACGACTTTAGCAAAGACTCGGGACGGCACAACCGGGTCTATGAAATAATTCTCCCATCATTGTTTATAGTTTTAAGGGGAAGGCAATCATTAACAACCGGTTCTTTTAAAATGGGCAGTAAGTGGATTTGTACCACACATTCAATACCGAGTGCGATATATCACCATTAAGTGTTACCTAGTTTGCAAGACAATCAGGTAGAAATATTCCGACAGTATACAAATTGTTGTAGGTTGTGTATACATGATTGCTTAGGAAAATGTCATCCATGAAGTTTGTCGTCGGTTTGGAGGTATGGAACAACTGGCAGTTAATTGTAATACTTATGTTGTTTTAATGTGCCTTTCAGGGAGGAGGCAATCAGGAAATTCAAATCTCGTGACCAGATCGTCCTCCCCCTTACGGAAGACGGCGCGACGCCTCAGACCTTCCCGCGAGAAGGAGAGCTACATCAGCTTTTGATATCTCGCACTGGCCTCGTTCGCAAGGCTGCCGTCATTCTTCTTTACCAGCGCTATAGGAGAGGCCCATGGTGACTTGGATGGCTTTATGACCTCATCTCGGAGCATCTCTTCAACCAAACGGTTTACTTCTTCCAGCAAAGGAGGTGGAATACATCTGGGTGGTTGCCAAATGGGCCTAGCTTCACCAGTATCAATCTTATGCTTGACGATATTTGTTCGTCCCAGTCTTACACCTTGCCATGAGAAGATGTTCGCATACTTAAGTAGGAGCTGACGGAGTTCTTTTCTCTCGTAGTTGGAAATGTGAGTCAGCTGCGCACAAAGATCATCCAGATTGTTCATGGGAATGGCTGCAGCTTTAAAAAGGGCATTGCAGATGTCGTCTGAGTCGTCTTTCGGTGGAGAGGTATCTGTGTTGGCCCCGGTGGCTTTGTGAGTGGAAAAGGTTCCTTCTGCAAAATTTAGGACGGCTTTGGTGTTGCGTAGGAAATCGGCACCAAGTATTACGTCCCAGGCCAGTTCTGGACACACGATGCATTCTATTGTCCAAGTTTCCTTCCCTATGCAGACTTTTAATGATGTCTCTCCATCGACTAGCATCTCCCCTCTGCTGAACGCAATTTTGTAGAAGAGGAGAGGATTTTAACCCTGTTACAAAGGGTAGGGAAGGCTTGGAGGTTCACAATTGACTTAGCTGCACCGAAGTCGAGAAAACTACAGGAACCCTCATATAAGAATGGGAGCCATTTGGGAGTAGACAGGAAAGGGAAAAGGAGGGCTCACCTGGTATAGGAGTATAGCGCAGGGAAACACGGTACGAGGATGCTGTATTTGACCAGTTTTGTGGTTTCCGGAAAGTCGGGGGCCCCCGGAGTTCCTGCCGCTTCTTGGTTGCGAGCTTAACCAATTGATCGAGCGAGTTAGTCTTTGCTTCGCAGAGCTTCTCAGCCAAGGCGGAAGGTCGGACTCGGTGCTTAATCTGAACCGTAACCCAACTGGCGATCTTGTTTGGGGGGCAGCCGCGGAACGCACGTTCCGCCAGGAGTTGGAGGTTCCTGGCGTACTCTTCGTCGGCCTCATCAGCTTTTTGAAAACGCTGAAAGAAGTCCCTAGCCGGGGTTCCCTCCTCACGATCGATGACCAGCTGAGCCAATGTATCGCAGCATTGGTCAACGTTCGTGTCGTGGGTGATGCCAGATCCGACTGCGGCCACGAATAAATCATGCGGGAGGGCGCGAAGGATAAGAGGTATTCTTTGACAACAGGGATAGAGAGGAAGGTTGAATTTGGCAGTTAAGAGCCACTCTTCGGAATTCTTATCTTCCTCGAAAGGGGGTAGGGCTGCGGGCGCTGCCACCAGTGTGGAGCGAGACTCATCGGTCTCTGCTTCCCTATTCCTAGCGTTCCTAGACAAGCCCGGTTGATTAGCTTTGGACATCTTTATTAAAGGTGACAAGATGGAGAGGGAAAATACAATGTTCAAGAAGGAGGGGAGCCGCAGTCACTAGGT